CCAGCACTCAGAGGTTGAGCTATATAGTGAGTTCAAGGCCAGCCTAAACTGCATAGTGAAATCCTGCCTTAAAAAAAAAAAAAAAAAAGAAAGTAGAAATAAATTAGAAATTTAGAAACTAATTTAACCAGTTCGTTGTATTTATGAAATGTGGCCAGACACATTCTGTTCTTCTGCACAGAAAGATTAAATATGGTAATCCTGTCAATACAGGTTTACATGCATATTCAACCATGTGTAAAAATGAAAGAAAAATGTGAAAGCACATACAGCAAACTGTGGGCAGTTTTTTCTCTAGGTGGTAAGATTAAAGGTAATTTTTCTTTTTTATACTTTTCTGTATTTTCTGAATCTTATGTAATAAATATATCACTTTCCCAGAAAAAATAAGTTCTTTTTTAAGATTCCAAATTATTTCTCATTGACACATGTACTTAATGTAATGCCGATCAAAATACCAAAAAGACAGATGAGAGACTGACACAGGACTTCAAGAAGATGCACCTGGGAGACTAAATATTTTGCAAAGGAGTCAATGATAAAGGAATATTATTTTATTAGGTAACAATGCAAAGTTTCACTTATCTACCTACAATGCAAATGAGTGCCTGGCTAGTAACACCTAATAAAACTGCTTCTATACCTTCAAAAAAAAAAAAAATCTGTCAATTTAGAAAACAGGCAGTGATGACAACTCCTAACACAATGTATTCTTGGACTTTTTTGGGGGGTAGGGGCAGGAATACTGGGAATTCAATTCACAACCTTGCGCTTGCCAGGCAGGTGCTGTTACGCTGAGCTATATTGCAGGCCCCACAATGTATTAATAAGGCCACCAGAAAGCAGACTGCAGAATCAATGTACACAGTGACAAATCTCTCAATGAAGCGATAAAGAAAAGTCTCCAAAGGGGGCTATGGCACAAGTTGTTTCTTGAAACAGTAACAAGCCCTGAGATAAGGTGGAAAGATGCTTTTAATCTCCTTTTCCAGTAGACCTGTAAGTCATGCACTCAGAACTTGGAGCAGACCAGAAGAGGAAGTCATCTGTTTGCACCTTCCCAGGGACTCTCTGTGAGGTGAGCAGAGTACCAATACAATTACTATCAATCTTGCAACACAGAACAAAATTTCAGACCCATCAAAAGGTTATTAAAAATGAAACAGCTAATCATTTATTTGATCTTGAGCGGGGGAAAGTCTTTCCAAGCTAAATATTTTTTTTAAATACAGGAAATTTTTAACAGATTTGAGTAACATAATTTAAGCCCAAGTGCTGGCAAGGGCTCAGGAAAACAAGCACTCTCATGAACTGCTGGTGGGAACAAACTGGCATAATATTTCTGGAGGGCAATCTGCTGAACGTGTTGAAAGTCTTTAAAATGTTTATGCTCTCTGACTCACTAAGTCAACGTCTAGGAATTTCTCCTAAAGAAATAATCAGATATTAAAAATGAGTTTACAATACTAAAAGACCGGAAAGAACACAGACGCCCAATAATTTATGTACGTCCAACAACAGGGGACTAAGGGAATAGAAAATAATTATATAATAAAATATTACCTGGCCTTTAAAAGAATATTTAAGAGTATCTGATGGCGAGAATATGCTCAGATAATATTAACTGCACCAAAAAAATACTAACATGTACCATGTACTGAGCTTTAATTTTTTATGGGGACTGAACCCAGGAGCTTGTGCATGCTAGGTGAGCACTCTACCCCTGAATCATATTGCTAGCCCAGGGTGTGAACATACACACATACACAAATATAGATTTGGAAGAAAACTCAAAATAATGGTTTGTTATTTCTTGGTGGGAAAACAGGATGATTTTAATTGTCTGCTACTAACAGCTAAAAGAATGTTAGGAGATCTGGATACCTCTCAGTCTTGTTCAAGGATCAGCTCAGCTGCCACCTCTTCAGGACTCCCCATGCCTCCAATATTGTTTGTTTGTTTTTTGAGACAGGGTTTCACTATGCAGTTCATACTGGCCTTGAACTCATGGAGATCCTCCTACCTCAGCCTCCCCAGTGCTGGGATTACAAGTGTGCGCCACCATACCTGGCTATAAGGACTCCAATATATACTCAGAATCCCTCCTTTGTACTCGACTATGGTCTAGGCAGAAATTTCCTGCTATTTTTACTTTTTTGTGATACTCAGACCTGAAACCAGAGCCTCTACTCATGCAAGGCAAGCACTCTGCCACTGAACTACACTCCCAGCCCTACATTCTTTATCCCTGTATTACCCTGTCTGATACGATTTACTACACCACAGGTATACTTTGAATTGCTCATAGCCAGAAGTTTAAGTTTTTCCCCCTTAAATCCTCAATGCTAACCCATGTAGAATCTAAACAGGTCTTTAAGCTACAATGTTGGATTTATTAATGAAAATGAACAAATGATTTCCTCTGCTCTACGAATTCAAAGGTCAAGGAGACAAACATCAACAAGGATGAGTGAATATCAATAAAACAGTATCTCTTCTTACCTTAGCTAGCAGGCTTGAAATGTGTTTAATTTCACCATTTGCCTTTAGCAATTCTTGTCTGAGCTCAGTGCAAGACAGTTCCAGTTGATCTTTCTCAGCTCGCGCTACTTTCAGCATTTCCTGAAGCTCACAGTTCTCTGCGGTCTGCCCCAAGGTACTACTGGGCTCCATGGCTTTTTGCTTCTCACCTTCCAGGTGAGCCTTCAAGGACCCATTCTCCATCTTCAAGCCTTCCAGGGTAACTCTACATTCTTCCAGAGTTGTGGTCATTGCATTACTGTTACACCGTTCTACTTCTAGAAACCCATTCAGCTTTTCATTTTCTTCTTTCAGGTGCTTGATCATATCCAAAGCTCCTTGGTTTTCTTCCTCAACCTTCCGTAAGCTACAGGTCAACTGCTGCTGAATGTTGAGCAGCTTCTCTCTTTCAAAGCGGCTCTTCTCAAGAATATCTGTGCACTTCTGCTCTAGCTCAAGGATTTTCCCTTCTTGGGTGCTGGACTCATCATTCTTCACTCGCTCTTGTAAAAGGTTTATCAGTTTCTCATTTTCTTGACTTAGCTGCTCTGCCCGCTCTCGATGCTGGTGGAAAGACGTCTCTAAAATAGTCTTCTCATCCACCAGCTTCTCGTTCTCAGCTGTCAGTTCCTGCACCATTTGTTGCTGATCGGATAATTCTTGCAGAGTCGCCTGTAGCTCCTCTGCAGTGCTGTGGTGATTCTCTTCCATCTTCTGTATCTTTTCTGTGAGGGAAGCAAGTGACAGCTCACTCACATTGTTTGGGGAACTCACAGTGGTCGAACACTTGGAGTTCTTAAAAGGATTGCTAGCGGAGGACAGGGGCCGAGATAGGGTATCAGTGGTGATGTGCTCAAAGTCTGAGGCATCTGGTGACAAAGAAGCTTTGGTAACATCACTGCTTGAAGAACCAGATGTCCGTAATGTATTTCCATATGTGTTTTCCTTATACTCATCGATTTCACTTGATAGTTCATTCCCATTTGGGCTTCCAAAGCTTGAATCTTGAGTTATAGATGTGGGGCAGCTGCTGTCACCAGTATGGCTTGCTGCCCCTTCTGAATTTGGTGACTGCTCAAGGTAAGTCAGTTTTTCCTTCAAGACTCGGTTTTCTTCTTCTAGGTCAGCAAGTTCTTTCTGAAAGGTCTTGTTCTTCTCCTCAAGGGTTCTTATCAAAGGCTCTGTGCCTCCTGATGGAGCTGCTGTTCCATCTGAACTTGGGTCTGAAGCATCTGTCCCCTCGGTGCTCAGGGCCCTTCTCTCCTTGCATTTCTTTAGTTCACTTCGAAGCCTGTTGATTTCACTATCTTTGGCTTTGGCTTCTGCTAGAAGTTCCCGAACTTGGGACTCAAGTACAGCCTTCTCTCCCCCTTCACTCTCTTGCTTGAGTTTTGCAGAAGTGGTCCTCAGGTGCTTGGTAGGGGTGTGAGTGCAGGAGGAAGTTGGACTGGACCCCGATTTCCTTGGGTTGGAGGGACCTCGTGAAACAGACCTTTCTCTTGAGACAGCTACTGAGAGTTCCCGGGGAGTTGGAATGCCTGTCCGTTTGGCTGTTGGAACTAAAGACACAAACAGAAGAAAAAAAAAAAAAATGAAGGGAAAAAAAAGCAAGCACTTTTGTAATGAAAGCCAAATGATTTCAAAACACATGGCACAGTGGATGGTATGGCTGTCATCTTTCATCCATTTCCTTCTCCTTTAGATAGTCACTCAGTTCTGACTCGGGTTTTGTACCTCTTCCTACCACCCTATTTGTTGATGTGAAGCTGACTCTTAGCCTGATCTGCTCAGAACAATCCTATCCCCAGCCGTAGTTGCTATTTTCGGGCCAGCACACACCTGGATTAAGTTCAGTGAACACAAGGAAAAGTTTTCAGATATGGCTGTAAACATCACTGGAGAAAATATCAGTGAGAAACATCAGTGAGAAAGCATGTGGATATGGAGGTTGCTGGCTACCACGGGGCACTCAGAGGAGAAAGGTGGGACTGTAGATGATGGGGTACAAAGAAGGAAACCAAATTCCTAGTGGCACTGCTGAGCTGCTAAGTCAAATCAACACTGAATATTGGCCTACTAACTGGTTTCCTGTATATATCAGCCAATGCATATGCTTAATATAAGTCACCTTGAACTGGGCTTTCTGTACCTTGCAATTTAATACAGCTGAACTGATAATGGCAACTAAATCACAGCCTTTTGACAAAATATATTTATTGTGTATTTCTTAATAAAAACTGGTAGAAAATATCATTATCGACATATTTTGACTGAGTACAAGTTTAAAAAATCAAAAGAAGGAGACGCCATTGGTGGCACATGCTTGTACTCCCAGTACTCGGAGGATGACACAGGAGGATCACTGTGAGTTTGAGGACAGCTTGGGCTACAAAGTGAGTTCAAGGACAGCCTATATAGCAAGACCCTGTCTCAAAAAGAGCAAAAAAAAAAAAAAAAAAAAAACCAAAAGAAGGGTTGGGCATGTAGCTCAATGTTAGAGCACTTCCTTAGTATGTGCAAGACCTGAGTTAAAGCACTGAAAAAAAATTTTTTTAAAAAGGAGGAAGAGGAAGAGAAGAAGAGAAGAAACTAAAAAAACCCAAAGAAATCACAAAGCATAAACAATACTAAAAACTGATATGATCAAGTGATGTACCACTTTTAACAAGTGAAAAGCATGTGCTCATTTGTATGCATAGAACCAAGAATAAATGATATAAAGGATGTATTCTGTATATCTACAGAACATTTATAAATGTTAAAGGGATTTATATGACAGAAATAATACAGAATTTAGAATATGTATAATGAGATGTAAGTAATCTAAAATTTTTTCTGCTATACTAAAGATAATACCAAAAAAAATTTAGTGGTGAAAACCCAGATATCAATCTCCTTTATGCTCTGGACTTGAAGCTCACTTCTGAGGCTTCAGGGAAATGAGAACTCTGGATCTATGCAACAATGGCAAGGCTACTTGATGAGTCCAGGCTGACTGGAATAACTTGGAGGACTGTCTCCAGTAGCAAAGGATTACAACAGTAGCTGCCAATCTCTAGGTCTCTCTAGCATGGGAGAATGCACACTCAGATTGGCTGCAACCCTGGTGCTAATACAAATTTGGAACTGAGCCTGAGCCAGCTGCTCCAAACCCACCACCAAGATTGTGAGCAGCTGCTCAGTGGCAGCAGCTAATCCGAAAGGCTGACTCAGCAGTGACTGTGCACAGGCAGACAACAGCACTGCTCAGCTTCTAGCAGGGAGCCCTTCTGAAATCACCATACCATACAGGCCATGTTATCACGAATATACAGAAACTATAGCTTTTAAATTAACTTTTCTAAGTTAAGCTCCTGGGACACTGAGTACTGTAATAGATTTTTTTTAAAAACCACCTTTAGGCATTCAGATGCCTCATTTGCATCATACTAAATTACTCAACGAAGAAAAGAGTTGTTTAATTATTCTTGTAAAATGAAGATTAACACCACTAAGCAAAAAAATGTTTTAGTAATGCCATTTCTCTAGAATGAAGTCATCTTGGCAAAGACCATGATAAAAACTGGAGGGTAATGATGGTTTCACCATAACTATAGTCCAACAGCCAAACCCCAAGACAGTATCACAGCAGCATCTGCCATTCCTAAAATACCAATTAGGGCTCCTCTTCCTCCTTCCCTGCTTCTTTCCTTCCTTTTCTCCTTTATTTACCTCCTTCCTTACTTCTTCTTCTTTTCCCCCTTTCCCCATTCCTCCCTCCTTTCCACTTTCAGTCATTTGCTGGTTTCACAGATGAGGAAAACTCAGAACAGTACATCAACTGTCATACTTTTAACTAGAGTTAAATCCCTTTTTCTGCCAAATCTGAGCGCTCCTCATGTTACCTATGCCTTATCTACTCGGGTTCTTTTTTTTAAAGCTCCTTAGTCACTTGTATCCTTTATTACCTCAATACAAAGCCCAAATATTTCCATTTTTAAACCTCTAGAATGTTACCCTGATATTTAAAATACCAATATTTAAGTTTCATATTAAAGGTATTGTACTGTGAAAACAGACCTGCTTAAATATAGTTTGAATAATTGTGGGGCTACTTACTGAGAGAAGATTTTTTTAGAGAAGATTTTTTTTAGATTTTTTAAAAAATCAGCAAGGTGGAATTTTAAAAACCTTAATTTACAATACACTGTAAACTTCAGACAATCACAGACCAGGTGAAAAAAAGGTTTTTTTTTAGATGTTCATAAGACTTTTTATCAGATTTTCTTAAACACCAAACCCATGTTTATTTATGAAATATAGCTCGTTGTGTAATTACAGAATATTCAGTCTAGTTGTATTTATACATCTGTTCTTTTTTAAAACTACACCTGTTTCTGGTTTCTAGAGGCTCTTCCCATCTCTGCACACACCATTTCAAAAACTACAAGGAGAAGTAAGCACATTTAGCTGCTAAAATTCAACATCTGACCAAACTAAGACTGGTGCCTGGCTGCTCTGGCAGTGGGACACAGCCTGACACACCTGCTCTGGACATTTAAGGAAAGAAGTAAAGTGGCCTGCATGATGTTGTTTTTCCTATTTAGTGTAGGAGTCAATAAATCATAAACATTCAATACTATGTTAGAAAACAGTCATTGTTTAGATGAATTCTGCCCATATCTAAGCTAAAATAAATATTCTTAGCAAGTTTAAAGTGGACTAGATTAAGCTATGCTCAATAAAGTAGGTGTATCAAAGGTATCTTCAAATTAGTGTTTTCAACATACGATGGATTATCAGGACATGCCCCTCTGTAAGCTGAAGGGCAGCATATATGTCCTGTGAGTTAAGTCTTCTTGCTAAGCAATGTATTCCAAAGCCCTCAGAGTGGTCACACCTCCTTACATAACACATTGTCTCAAGGTGACACTGGGATTTAGAAAGCACTAGGCCGAGGGCTGGGGATTTAGCTCAGTGGCACTGCACCTGCCTGACAAGTGCGAGGTTGTGAGTTTGATTCCCGGTACCGGAAAAAAAAAAAACGAAACAAACAAACAAAAAAAAGAAAGCACTAGGTGGAAAAGAACACGGGCTGGTTCTGCCAGCACACTCATGTTTTCTGTCTTCTTCCCAGCCTCCTACTCATTCCCACCCAGGACGCTGTCTGTCTCAATGCTGAGGTTGAAATAAAAGCTCCACCTCATAATCATGAAGACCAATACACTAAAAACAATATGTTTAATATAGTACATTTTTAAATGCTGGTGAAAGTTATACTGTAGTTTATCACAAGTATTCCCCAAAGACTCCATCAACGCAGCCTCTCCCCAGGTGATGGTACCTTTGTTTTTGTTGGCATCTGTATACAAGTCCAAAGTCATGACCTGTCTTCCACCCAAACAGACCATGATTTGGTCCAGTCTTGTGTGTGCCTCCCTTTCCTACTGTGTGGCAGACTTCTAAAGAAAAATCTTCTTGGTTTTCTCAATAGCACCCATTTTTTGTTGCTAGCACCATGGAGGTTGCCTCTCAGAAGCCAGATGTCTCATTCTCTCTTCTTCTATTGTAACTATTTTCCTGGTGCTTTTACTCAACCTTAAGATCTTAAACACCACTGATTACTGAAGATTCTGAAATTAACTCTTATATGGACCTCTTTTCTTCAGAGCAATGAATCTCAGAGTCAAGCTACACATTTGAGAAGCATAACTAAATTATCCCAAAAACATCTCAAACTACACAAAAGGGAAATGAAGACTGAGAAAAAAAAGAAAAAAAATGTGCAAAAGGATTCAGAGCCATGCCAGAGAGAAGGCTAATCTATATAGGGCACTCAAGGGAGTTCTCACTATTGACAGGTATGAGATTCACAGTAGCATGTACCCATGAAAACAAGAGCAGGATGTTACAAAAAAGTAGCATCTCTTTCTACAGTAAGAGAAAATGCTCTAAAATTTTTTAAATGCTCGAGAAACTAAATGATTCAACAGGTGGGATAATATCCAAAATGAAGTAATTCTCCTAATGTATAGAAGAAAATGAAAAAGAGATGGAAGTAGAAAAGATAAAAGACACAAGGGTCAACACAGAAAATAAAATAACCAGTTAACAGAAATTTCAGAAATACAGACCAATGTAAATAGAGCAGAGGAAATTATTAAGAAGAGAATTCTCAGAAGTTGAAAAAGACAACTTTCTAGATGCATGTCAAACAAAATTACTCCTTGGTATTTAACCAAATGAGGTGAAAACACTATATCCACACAACAAACAAAACACAGCACACTGACGTTTATAGCAGTTTTACTCATACTGGTCAAAACCTGAAAGCAACTAAAATGTCCTTCAGTAGGTAAACAGATAAACTGCAGTACATCCACACAGTGGAATATTATTTATTACTAAAAAGAAATGAACTATCAAGCTATGTTAGTCACTCTGTCACTATAATACCTGAGGTGATCAATTTATAAAGAGAAAAGATTTATTTTGGCTCATAGTTTTAGGGGTTCAGTCTATGATGGATTGACCTTGTTGCTTTTAACTTGCACATCTCAGAGGGAGCACATGGCAGAGC